AAAAAAAAAAAAAAAAAAAAAAAAAAAAAAAAAAAAAAAAAATTGAAAAAAAAAAAAAAGAATTGTCAAGAACTAGACATCACTGAATGGATAACATCATCACATCATCAATCTAAACTGGATAAAGTCTCTAATTAGAAACAAATCTGGAATGAGCTTTCATATCGTGATGTATAACAATCGTATTTCTATCTATCATAATTTTCACTGAAAAACCTATTGGAAGAGAAGGAATTAGTGGAATAACATTTCATGGATGGGAAGCAAGTATAATAAATGAGGAGAAACTGTACCCTATTTCCTCAATATATATCTAATCTCCAAGCCATTAAAATAATGGCTTGAAGAAATAAATAGTGGCATGAAACCAAAAACTGTTGTCATAAGTGCTGTGGGTGAGCCCAGGCAATATAATGGAACAATGAATCCATCATGGAAGTGATTTTTTTAAAATCAAAGCTGGAACTTGGAATATTGATTAGAAGCCAGTGGATGTTGGTATCATTTAAAAATTTTAAGATTCAAATATTCTAGAACTCTAAAGCATTGTAAGTGTACGATTGATTATTTTAAGCAGGAAGATTATGTTTTTTTAAACTGAATTGTTTTCTAACAATTAGCAGCTTTGTTTCAATCTAAATAAATTAATATGCATATTGAAAATATGATTGAATCATTTCTATCAGCACCTATTGGATATGTTGATAATTTTACATAGATATCTTAATCAGTAGGCAATAGCTACACATGTGCACAATTCAGCAATGCAAAAGCTATAATTTTAGCTTTGGAAATGAATAAACTTGTATTTCCATTATTAACACAAATGTGAGTTTTCATCCATTCCTATGTCACTGAATCTCAGAAATTTTCCCTATATGATATTAGATAAATATGTATCCAGGCAAATGGGAAAATGCAAGCAAACACCAACATTTTTTTCAATACCAATATGAAGAATCTTTCTGATAAAGAATTCTTTTTTAAACTGCAGCACTGCCACAAAAGCAAATTGTTACATGAATAAAGAATAGAATATCTCTAATTACTCAGTGACAGTTTATAACATTAGTAATTATGGAGGTGCTCTTTAATATATGAATAATGTAGGCAGACCAAACATCTAGATTCTGCAGCTATCTTACTGATTATTGAATCTAAATAATCGATCAGAGTGATCTGGTGTTCACATTCTTCACATGAACTGTTTTAGATTAAAAAAATCTCATTGGATAGCAAATCTATCTGATAAATATTTAATAGGAATTTGTAATCTTATACTATGTATTTGCTTAATTTAGTTCAGAGGTTGTATTCAGCCAGTTCTGGAGAACTGGTAATGGCAATTTTGAGTAGTTCGGGGAACCGGAAAATAGACTGGCCCCACCCCCACTGCCTCCCAGCTGATCTTCTTTTGTTGCCCTCAACAGGAGAATGGAGCTGGAAAGCAGGTTAGTAGGGTGGGGAGGGAATGGGGATTTTGTAGTAACCTTCTCCTGCCATGCCCATCAAGCCATGCCACACCCATAGAACCAGTAGTAAAAAAAATTGAATCTCACCACTGATCTAGTTCATTTTAGCACAAAATGTTTAGCCAAAGAAATTAATTAACTTCATTTATTTCAAAAGCTTTCAATTAGGAGTAGAAAATGTGTGGCCTTCTGAATCTTTCAGAACTATTAAGCCAGTGATGAGCAACGTTGAATATTGCATTTTGGTGACATTGGGAAGGCTACAAGTTCCCTGTCTCTGGTCTGGAGAATAATGCATTTAATAAATTAATATAAGTTTCAGTTACAAATCAGATGTATAGCAATGGTTCTCAATCATTCATATCTTAAGTTCCATCAATCACTTTCAAAGAACGTGGGTTTCACTAAATTGGGCATGCCATTTTCCAGTTTAGGCAGGTGAGTGGCTTCCCAACAAGACTAATATTGAATAAATACCACAAAGGTATTTGATCCAATGGCAAATAAACACATAACTGTATGATGTTTTTTGCATTTGATGTAATTCTATTTGTTCTCCTTGTAATCAAGGAACAAGCAAAAATATTGGAATTGACTTTTCCCACACTAAATTATTATGATATCACATGTGATACAACACACTCTGAACAACACAATGAATACATTTTGTATATATTTCCCCATCATTATATTTTAGTGAACAATGTCAACTTTGGATTATTTTCTGTGAATGTTCTCTTTTTATTTCAACCGTTGTCATTATTATTGTTCCAATATGTTTAGTACACAACAGATACAATGAATGATTTTATCTAAATGCATCATATTGTTTTCTCAAGCTACTAAGGCAATAATAAACAACCACAGCAAAATCCTTTTACTTAATTAACTTCTTTTCATGTAATCTTAATTATTAATCTATCAAATATTTTAAGAATTTGAACTAACAAAAGATTAGCTTTCCTGTACCTTGGGATGTTCCAGAATGATGAGAAATCATTTCTTTCACAAGCATTAAATAGATGATATATTCTATTGTAGAGAAACAGACTGTATATTTTTATATTAATGGTTTTCATACTATGTTCCCAAGTATTCTGGGATTGTTTGGAAATTTGTCAGGGACTAATCAGTGAGATTCTTCACAACACCAGACAAACCTATATAGAATAGTGCTTTCCCACAGATTATACTACACATCAGCAAAAGAGTTTATACTAATGCCAGAATGTGCTACAGAATCTGGTTTGAGCATTTTAATTAAATGTAGGAGAAGTTGCTTAGCATACTCCTTAAGCAGCAAAAGATGGCCAACACAAAAACATTTAAAAATCATTGATTTATTTGAAATTGTTGGAGTAGCAAGGGAGTATCTTCATAAACCTCTATGCAGTCCTTGAATACAAATCTCAGGGTTAGTTCAATACTATTTCAGAGGTAATAAAATTTGATCCCTCTATCAAAAAACAAGAGATTTCCTTCTTAAAGCAGCCCATACAATTTAAAAAAGTGTGAAATTATATGAAAAAAATATACAAGAACTATCTGATACAGAGTCTGTATCTAAAAAATTATCAGCTTCAGAAGTACTCCTGACTTGAAGAGATAAAGACTCAATATTGTCATTCCAAAATATAAGATTTCTAACAGTGGGAGATCAAAAATTCGATATAATTTCACTGTTCTTTCTTTTCCTAACAGAGTATTAATGGCATTTATTCCTCTGACTTCTAAATGCTTATATCTGAAAATTCCTACAAAAGTCAAGAACAGCTTGAAGGACCTTTGAAAGAAAATGATAAAATACAGAAATGTTTAAAAAAATATTCTGAATCATGCATACGTACACATTTACATGCACAACTTTAGGCATTTATTTATAAAATATTTAATTATAATTTACACAATATTATATTACATGCAGGATGATTCTTCACCTACCTGACTCTCTGGAAATTTGTATAAAGGATTCCATGCCTTTTTCACCATAGCTGCCTTCAGAAGCCAAGGTGGAAACATAGTTCCATCCCAAAGCTCTCACAATGTCCACCATTGCCTGTGCTTGGAAGGAATCTGGAGGAACAACCCGTGAGAAGAAATCGTAGCGCCGGTCATCACTTAACTCTGGTGCAGTTGAAGCATAACTGATTTGGGGTATCTAGAGAGAAAAAAGAACAGTTAATGGGACTTATGAATTGATAAACTCAACACACGTACAACACAATTAGTTTTAGCTGTAATACAATTAGCCTTCCAGATGCTCATCTGTTACTTTCTATCTTCATCAGCCCTTAAGTGAAAGTCAATGAAGCTATCTTTCAAATAATTTTTATCACAGGAATACTAATTGGTAGATATTATTTCTATCAGCCTTGCACCCCAAACTTTCATTAACTTGCTTTTGATGAAGCAAGTTTACGTATTTGCCTAGATTTAATTGCGGATAAACCGGACGTAAATGCAGCTGCTGAATCAGTCTGGTACTGGGTGAATTTCCCCTAACGTTTAAACATCTGTAGTGATTTGATATTTGAACTTCCTCAGGCTGCTATATTCTGCTATCATTTTGCACTGGTTATCATCCATTTCATTAATAACCTGTTCTGTCCCCCCTTCACGTCTCTTAACAAACGGCAAGACGAATAAACTTAAAAGGAACTTTCTTTATCAGTTCTCAGATCAGCCTGGCTTTGCGCCCAAAACTAACATAAATCCAGTCTCGAACGAGATAACAGAATGAAAAC